ATAAATATATATATATAATATTCCAACAATGGAAGACATATTTTGGAGCCAGCGTCTGACCCAGAGCGCAGCCTTGACAGAGACTAAATTCAGATCTGCACTTCAACAAAAAAWTTTTAATGGCTAAAAAGTGGATTTTACATGATATGTCCCCTTTTAAAGAGCTGAGCTTAAATAAATTCAAGCATATCATAATGGAACAAAGGCGAGACAAGTGTTCAGCAAGTGTAAAAGCCACCAAATCATAAATGCAATCTGAAGTTACAACAGCTCACATACACTGAATTTACAAGAACTGTAGCTGCACCTGATGAATTTTACTAGAGCTGTAAACCCATGCACACATGCGCACACACATGCACACACACACGTCTCGCTCAACACCCTCTGCTTGTCATGACTTTGGTGAGTTTTACAGGCAAATACTGTGCTCAAGACAGAAGAGGTTCTGCCTTTTGCCTTCTTCAGTATGTTGAACTGCACATTTCGATCCACAACCTACTTTTCAAAATGTGCATCCTGCATATAATATTATAACATAATGACATTAACACATTATGACCTTACAATAAATGTCAGATATTTTTGATATATTTGACTACGCTCTCAGTTTCTTGAATGTGACCCCTATTCCAGCTTTTTAAARATGTATTGGTAGTATCAGTTTTAGAATAATAACACTTTTGCTGAATTCATTCTTCTTCATTTTCATTTTACAAGTACAGCCCCCCAGCTGTTTTAGAAATGGCGCTGTGGAATATAATAAAGGTTAACAGGAAGCACAACACACACCCACACACACACACACACAATCCCTCAGATACATATGGATCTCACATTTACCACTCCCTTACATTACTTTTTAAAATTAGACATGAAATAATCCTACAACTTAAACAATGTCCTGCTTAGCCCTGAGAGGCCGATAAAAAATCTCACAAATGAGACTTAGATGGAGACACAGAGGAGATTTCTGACATCATGAGACAGGATGTGGATTCAAATAATGAGCAACAAATGAGCCACTGCAGGAGGAAAAACATGTGCATGCTGGACATACCAGTAAAATGAAATTATTCATTYGAATTGTGGTTTTGAGATCTTAAAAGCAGGGATATATAAATAAAAAACCTTCGTATTGACTCTGAAACTGCTGTTTACCGCACACTTTCTGCCGACTTTTTGCATCAGTTCTTTGTTAATTAAAAATAAATAAATTCCCGAAACAGATTCATCGTGAACCTTCTGGAACGTTACTTTGTTAAAGTGCTGTGAAAACATTTGCGTCTGAGCCTACAGCTCTGTAATGACTGACAACATAGATCTGTAGACTGACAACAGAGAGAAGTGGCTTTCCTGCATTCGAATAACAAATTTAACTCAAAGCATCTGGAAACRCACTGACAACATGCCACTCAGTGCAGCATGATGGCATTAGTGTTGAGTGTAGCTGTTATCTTGGTTTAAAAAACAATGATTTGTGTAAGGGAAGTAGTACTTTTTTTTTTTTGTCAGTACGGTACTGGCAGCACAATTTTTTGTGTTATGAGGAAAAAAAAGACTAAGAGAGTGACGAGTAGCGAGTTGAAAAACAGCTTGTCACTGTTGCTCAATACAGCTCTTTTTTTTTAGTTTAAGAACGACACTTTTCTCTTAATATAGAAGTGTTTTGTTATCCTGATTATAGGTCTGATGCAAAACACTTGCAATGCCAAGTCCAACTCCAAAACACTCATAATCATTATAAACAACACCCAAAACTTTGAAGAAAATCCCAGATGCTCTGCCCTAACCCCTTTATTCTTCTCTCTAATTGACAGATAAATTAGTGAATAAAGAAAGCCTCAGCTCCCTAAGGATTAATATTTGCTTTGAGATAAAAACACATTTAGGTTTATTGAGGTTGCATGCATACACACTCATATGAGCCCAGCTATCCTAGGTAGGTGATGAAGAACGCAGACTGTGCCTGGTGGAGCCATTTATCTGTAGTCTGGTCCTCTGTTCTGCATGGTTGGGAGGTCTGGAATTTAAATGAGCCCCCCTAACCAGTGTTTCCTCCTTGCAGCTGCATGCAGACACACAAACAGCAGCATCACAGAAGGTATGAAGGAGCAGAATAACTTACGGTAGTTTTACAGTTTCAAATGGCTCTCACATCATGGAAAGCACAAAAAGTTCCTTGCTTCACTTTAGCTCACTTGGGGGGTTGTAAACACACATCCTGTCAGTCAGGATTTTTTGTAGAATGGGGGAATTTTTGCTTTACAGTAAATGTGGTGGTAAAGAGGGAATTCAGAGGAAATTATTAAATGTGAAACAAAAAAAAGAACAAGTGCTTGTAAACACCTTTTTTTACATTTAGTTTCCTCTGACATTTTGCACCAAAACAAAAATCCAGGCTGTTGCTTTGTGCCACACACACACACACACACACACACACATTAGTTTTTCTGTCCTCGTGGAGACTTTGCATTGACTTCCATTCATTTTTTAGTCTTGTCTATAGCCTAACCCTGACCCTTTACCCTAAACCTAATCACCCCAGTACATACCTGACCCTAAACTTAGCCTAAACTCAGTTTACACCGTGGTCCTAAATCTAACACCCCACCCAAAATCAGATCCGTAAACGGGGGAACCAGGCTTTGGTCACCATGAGGTGCATTAGAATAGAAAAGAAAAGAAAGCCTTTATTGTCCCRCCGAGGGGAAATTCAGGTGTCACAGCATCATCCGTACAGAGATTCACACGCTAGTTACTTTACAAACTATAGACAATGCACAAAAAACAAAATTAACACTAACTAGCAATGATACTACTACTACTAATAAAAAATGTAATATAAAGAATTGTGCAAGAATAAAAAAATATATGTTTTGTTTTAGAGACAGTAGACTATCAGAATCTGACATTAGGAATCGATTGGAATTACGAATAGGTCCCCACAAGTCTTTGTTTTCCTGGAAAGTGAACCTCATTATGTAGCAAAAACGTGTACACAGACACAACCACACACACGTTTGCTCTTCTATCCTCATGAGGACATTGAACTGACTTCCATTCATTTGCAGGTGATTTCTGTAGTCTAAGCCTGACCCCTGACCCTAAACCTAACCTAAACTCATTTCACACAGTCCTAAACCGAACCTCTGACCAATCAATAGTGAGTGAACAAGGCTGTGCGTATTGGGAAGGTCAGAAATCATCCCTACCAGATAACAAAAACACACACACACGCACGCACGCACACACACACACAGTTGAACGGACCACGTTTTGACCATTTTGTAGGTGATGAAAATACTTCAACCATGTTTGTCTGAAAGTCATTGAGAAAACTGCTTCTAACTCCTTTCTAAAGTCTACCCCCCCCACCCCCCACCCCACCCCACACACACACCACACTTAAAAACACACTTGTCATGATTGGCTGAGGGCCTGTTAATGAGCTGTCAGTCAAGCAGCAGACTAATGCAGAACAGGCCTTAACTATTGTTCACAAATGATGACATAAGCACTCAGCCTGATGATGTAACAAACATGATTGACAGCGAGGATGATGAAGGTGCCAGTAAACCTGGTTTATAGAAAGGTGATCCAAAAAATGTAATAAAGATTGTATATTTGAAAAAAAAAAAAAGGTTGGCAATGTATTTTTTGAAAGCAGCCACAAATAGTTTTATTTAGTCATTAAGTTTGATTTTATTGAGAGAACTACAGAAACGTTTTCTGTTTCCACCATTAATGTTTGTATTTTTTTAATGTGTTGCAGGTGCAGAGTGAGCTGTGGCTGCAGGGCCTGCTTCCCGCAACTTCCTACATCCTGTCTGTGCAGACGGTGGCCTACTGGGGTCAAAAGAGACTTAAGAGTCACAGAGCGCAGCTTGTTTTCACTACCATCTCTCACACAGGTACGAAGAAAACAAAACACCTTTCTCATAAAGCTGAGGTAATGACCTGAATTATTCTTGTGGAAAATTCAGCTAATGATTATGCTCATAATGATATAATTTGTTTTTTTTTCCTAAAAGTGTGTGTGTGTGTGTGTGTGGGGGGGGGGATATTCTGCAAAATCAACTTTTTTGAACTTTAAATCATGTCATAATGTCGTTCCATTATCAAAAATACTCTCAGAGTGTTGCTTTGACTCATTTATGCATGTTTGAGAGAAATCCTTGAATCTCCTGTAGTAGCCATCTGGAGCTGCCTAAACAGTTGCTGGTACAAAGCACCACCTATTTGTACAAAGCTCCTCCCTGGAGCTCAGTCTGCAGCTGAGCTCCCGCCCCACAGAGCACCCCTCCCCCGAAACATTGTTGTGAAGACATGCTGAAGTGGGATCGTCGGAAACAGTAGGAGGTTCTTAAAGAGACAGAGGCCAATTTCAGTGGGTTTGGATAGACTATGATGCAAAGTCAAACTTATTTTTGATATGTAGCATTTTCGCAACAACTGAAGGTAACATAGTTACTTGATTGTCATAGAGAATAGAACGATGTGCCTGTAAAATTCATACCCCCCCACCCCCCCAC